AAAATTTTATTTAAATTCTATTTTCCATGTTGCCAATATTTATAAAAATGCAAAATTAAACAATGAAAATAGATTTGTCCTTTTTCCTTTTGTTTATAATAAGTTTCATTTTTCTAGCCCAGTTCTGCAATGTTTGAATCTCATACCTTGCAGTTTATTGTTTTAAAATTTAACTGTTGGATTATTTTCAGCCGGGGGGATTTTTCCATCTAGATTTTTACAAAACCAATGGTTGGAATGTTAAAAGTGAGTGAGGTGCCTAATTTTCACTGTAATTCTGACCAGTTTATTTAGGCTCCTATGAAAATCCCAGCTTTCATTTAATGAAATCTCAGTTTACTTTTTTACAGGAGTGGATTATTATTTTTTATTTTTATTATATCTAAAGTAAGTTGCAGAGAACAAAGGCTCTGTGTTAACTTTAAAATAGTCTGAAAGCACACTTGGATTTTTTTCCTCTTTGAGGTTTTGTCTTGGATTCGTTTCAAAATCAACTATTTAGGATGGCTAAATTTTAATGCCTTAATCATTTGGTATCTTTCCCTTTCACTTCTTTGAAATATATATTGAATATAGCTAATGAGTTCCCCCATTCTTGTTTCTTTACAGTTTTTCCTGGTTTGTTACAAATTTGAGTATGAGTGAAACTTAACCACAGGCTGGCATAAGAGGATATAATTTTATCTATTTTCTCCATATTTTTCTTTCAGACAATGTATCTCCTCCTATGCAAAAAAGTTAGTTAAAAATACAGAAAGAAAGCAAAAGTGTACACAGTTTCTATTTGGCCCTAACATTCGTCCTCAATCGGCACTGGTATCAAGAAGGTCAGGACATCAAAATTGTTCTACACATCAAACAAAATCAGTTCAGAGCCATGATGGAAAACCAGACCAACAGAGCTACAAATCAAACAGTACAAACAATTTCTGCCTTATATCACCATCCAAGAGAAACAGACCTGTCAGTGCTCCCACAGGTCAGTTAAGGTAATCAAAGCTCTTTTGTGTTGCCTTTAACTGTGATGGTTTATGCTCTGTCCACTTTCAACAAAATTCATAATGATAATTCAATGGACATTTTTAAACATAAAAATAAAAGACACTGCTGATTTTATTAGTAAGTTTTGTTGCACCTAATAATTTCCAGGCCTGGAATTTTTTTTAAACTGCATACTTTAAATCAAATAATTATGAAACAGAATTACCAGGATCTCTTTCTTTGAAAGATGTAAAACAAAATAAGTACCCCAGCTTGCCACTGCAGCTTACAATTCACCTAATATTAGGTCACATAATATCCTTCAGGGATTTTTTTTTGCGCTTAGTAATTAAACAGCTCCCCAACATATACCCTGGGATAAATTACCCTTGTGTGTTGTAATGACAAGTTCTGAGAAGGCAGGTGACTTTTGAAGTATGCTGTGAAGCTCACCAAATCCAGGTGCTAGGGAACCAATGTTCCGAAGTCAAGATCCCTTACCAAAAGCACCTCATTTAGGGACAGAAGTTTCACACAGACTGGTATAAATGATCAGAAACTGGTTAAAATCCGTAACACAGCAGAAGTTCAGTGCACCTCAAGTGCTTTTTAAATGGCCAAAACTAGTTTAAGATAAACTTAGATGCATGTAGTATCAGACTTAACTGATTTAGGTTAAATCAGTCTATTGAACTTCTGTCCCAGACCTCTGTTACTAGCACCTTCCGTTTTCATGAGGCAAGTTAATGTTGAATGGCATAGAAAATTCCATAGGGAACAGGCATGATCTCAGTTAGGCAGGATTCAAACTATTTAGGTTTTTATAATCAAAATTGTATTTGTAGGTGTCTTTGTAAGTATAGTAATAATAATAACTTTTTAAAATTGAAACAGAATTGTATATGTTGAAGTAAATGCTTGCTTCTCCTTGCCCCAAGTATAAACATTTTTAAGTCTGAAATCAGATAAGAAAGGATGAAGTTAATGCATAGTTCGACTCCACTAGGATTTTATATATAGAATCTACAATATTTAAAGTAAAAATGGTAAGGGGGAAAATATCATCAGTGCTTTATTATTTGTTTAATAAATTTAAATATTAAGATAAATATGGCCAGTTAATATCGTATGTGTGTATATTTTTACAGTGCTTTCATGCAAAAAACTATTTAATGATAAACTGTAATAACTCCTTGCAAAGGGCCAGATTCTGAATTCCTTATGCATATGGATGAGCAGTTTTTCACGTAAGCTATCCCCATGACTTTAATGAGATGCCTTGTTTTAGGACTGGCTTACCAAAGAACATAAAGGATCAGACATCTCTCCGAATAAAAAGTCCTTGAATTATTAATTCAATTGCAGTTCAAGGCACCTGAAATTGTAAAATATCTGTACAGTAAGGTTAAATATATAAAGTACATGTTGCTTAAGGGACCAAGCACGTGTCCAATAAAATAGAGGGAAAGATTCCCATTGATGGGAGTAAGAGTTGAATCAAATACTTAGGCCTAATGCCCACACTGAGTTCTTTCATGGGTTGATCTCTGTATCTGCAGTGAGCTCAGTATAGGGTAAGGCCATTATCTTACAAATATTTGCAATAAAACATAGTCTTGCTATAATTATGCAGTGAGCCTGTATTTGTTTTCTAAGAACAAGCTTCTAATAGCCCTGCAGAGGAGTTGCTTGTGGGTTTAACTATTTTTAAAAAAATACTGAGAATATTTTTCTTCATTAAATGTTAGTCAATTGTACTTTATTCTACTTATTGCTGTGAATATATTTTATATCCTGAAGAACAGAAACAATGACATTAAACCTCATTCTGTGCACCTTATATAGGCATCATTTCCATCAAAGTGAATGGCAATTTTGCCTGAGTACTGACTGCAGCATCAGTTTTTACTTTGTCAACTAAAAGCAAAGCATTAACTTATATGTAATTATAAAGCAATTCTTTTGGGCACTGAAAATACTCAGATGTTATTAATTTTTTCTAGAATAATGATAGTGTTTATAAAATGTAGTTAAATCTTGATGGAATTGGTGAATCATTTAAAATTAAGGGTATCCTCTTTTTTTGCAAAGGCCATAATAAAAAGAGCTCTGAAGCTGCTACATAAACAGCTTTACAATTTGGTTATTCAAATGGCCTTTGAGTGTGCCCTGTTACGAATAAGATGTGCTAAATGTAAAAAATTATCTACATTTATGAAAGTTATAATTCTAAATATTCTAGATTCAAAGGAATCTAATTTTGTTCTGTATCTATGTTTTAAAACTCGAGTATTTGAAATTAAATATGTATAATTTGGAAAAACGTTGAGGCGTTGCATTAGAAATATAATTTTTAAATAACTATCAAAAACAAAGCCCATAGTAATAGTAAACAAAACACACAAATAAAACATTTCTCTGATTTAAGTTAAATGGGTTTTATTTGCAACAGATATACAAAATTCTCTTCCTCAAGACTCCAGGAAGCCCAGAAGAAATCAGCACTGTCCAAAGTTACTAAACAGCAGCCAAGGGTAATCAAAGTAACAGCTTATAAGAATGGCACAAGGAGTGACTTTACTAGAGTTGCTGTACCATCCATTAAACTGGTAATTACTAATACAAAGTTTCTTGTATGCATTAACTTGACTTCTAGTTTGTACTTTATAACTAAGATAAATAAAGGAATTATTTTTTATTTAAAATTAGCAAATATTAACGTTCTTCTTTGTAGTATGTGTATAATATATAGAAAATCGTGGAACAGTTAAGCACTTTAAAGTTACAGAGCATCGCAGAGTATAGAACATTGAGTTTATTCATAACGTTGTAGTATTACATGAGAATAAAAATCTAGATTATAATAATAACATTTAAAAATCTTTGTAATTTTGTGTGTTTTCTGTTATGTTTTCCTTAGTCTGTTATCTGATAAGTGCCAACAAAGAATGCAAAAATACTAAGTTACTTATAATGCAATTAGCATGGTTGCTAAGTCATTTAAGAGTGGATTTCTAATTTCCAGTTTTGCTTCTCTGGCTATATATTCATCATAACACAGATATATTTTTCTGTTGTAATCAATATTCCTTACCTCTTGCATTCATTTAGCTGCTGGAGGAGTGCACTGAAAAGCTGAATCTGAACATGGCTGCACGACGAGTGTTCTTGGCAGACGGCACTGAAGCACTAGAACCTAAAGACATACCCCATGATGCCGACGTTTATATTTCAACTGGAAAGCCCTTTTTAGATCCATTCAAAAAAATTAAAGGTAAAAGAAAAACAAACAGTAAATGGCTTAAGGGGTGCAATTAAAAATGATTTTCATCCTGTCTTTTTGCATGGTTTAACAAAACTAATGTTTACTCATTTACAGCTCAGTAAGAGGATAATGTGCTTAATGAAAGAAAAATCTACTGACAGCCACGTTTATTGCCCTTCATTAGCACTGGTGCTTAATTTAATATAGATCTGAATAGACATTAGGGAGCCTGCAGGAGGTTAAATGGTGAAAATATAATAAATTAAATCAGAGATTATTGAATTTACTGTTTAGTTTCAGTGACACCTAATAGACACAATTCATTAGGCTTATTACACTAGAAAGAAAAAGTTCAGAGTTTAAGATTGCATTTATTAATTTAGACATTTGACCTTTATAAAGATATCATTACAATAATTACTAGAAATTTTACAAAGTAACGTGGAATATTTAACTCAGCATGCTTTAAAATTGTACAGTACAACAAACATTAAACCTTTTCCCCCCTATCTCACCCCTTTCCCAGTATGGTTACCAGCTGACATTTTTCCAGAGGAGAATATTACTGTTTCTGACTCATTTGCTTTTGAAGTTGGCTTTTATATTTAATTCTTAGTCATATTTTAAGTTGATGTATTCTAATCTATTTGTACAACCAATTTTCAAAAAGCTTTTCAGAGAATGAACTTAAATTGTGTTCTGCCTCAGAGTCAAAATATATACTAAATATTTTCTTTTAAATGACCAGTACAGCTGGTATTTGTGATAAATACCTAATAATTTCACATGTGAAAAAATTAGCTGGCTAATGTACTGCCAGTATTAGATGGCTGATTAAAACTTTATTTTTTTAAAAAATCAACATATATTGTAGGTATACCATTATAATATGAAAATATACCTTAATTTGAATCATATATGCTACATTATATTTATAAATGGGATAGGTTTGAGGTACTAAAAGGGCAATGGAATACATTTAAGAAAGACCTAGGGGTAAGAAAATGAATAAAGCATTCAGCTGATGTGTATGTTTTATATTTTTTGCACTAATGGACATTTTTTTAGTTTTTCTCATGTTGTTAGTTACGCTCTCTTTCATTTTTTAAAAGCCCCTTTAGTTTATTTTTCCCAATATGATTTAAGTGCCTCTTATTATGAAAGAGGAGATAATAGCATAACTGTTTGTAGTACTAAATGTTTTTATTCCTGAACTCAAGAAAAAATTCAGAACAACTTTGCTTATTCTTTTCATACAGAAAGTAATTGCTTTAATATAAAGTCCATGTACAAGTGAAGAGTAGTGATGAATATAAATAATGATGAGTACTATATAAATGTCTCTGAATACATAAATAACATTGACCAGTAGTCTTTGATATGATTTGTGTCCTAAAATAGGCCTTTCATTTACATAGCCATGGTGTTATTCATGAGTGATGAAAGTGTTTAGATTTTACACCACCAATTAATCCAGATCCTATAAATACATTCATCTCAAGCTCCCATAAAAATTTCACAAATTATATTTATGATAATAAGTAATCCCTATCTCGTGTATCATCTGTTATGCATATGATGTGGTTTTAAAAATAATATGAAAATCACCCTGCCTATGATCTAGAAGAGTCAGTGACTACAATTTATTTAATTAACAGTCTATATATTCAATAAGACAGATAAAGATCTTTGTATTTTTCTAGTACATGTGTGTTGCCCAGTCAGATTAACATACTTTAGGATATATTAGGGAGGCTTTGACTGCTTCATTAAATACAACTATATTTAATAAATATCTCTGTCTCACTTCTTCAAAGACGCTGAAATAAAGCAAATGTTACAGTATTTTTATATGGCCATGACTTGCTATAAAATCTGAGCATTTTCATTTTTGTTATAGTTTTTCCATGCACATGACTGGGTATTAGAGTGGATTTTCAAATTCATTAAGCAATTCTTCTTCTCTCTCTCCCCCTCTCCCTCTTTCAAGCCAAGTTCAAAACAAAAACTTCTGTGCTTTGTCTGCATATCTTTGGCTGTGTTTCATTGTGACATGCACTGCTGTTCTTTTAGCACCAAAATGTTGGCACACATTACTGAAAATTTCACACCATCTCTTGCTGGATCAGCAAGCTTAACCTACCAAAATCTGGTGTTGTTGAATGGTTTTTGACTGATAATCAATCTTTTTGCTGCTCGACAGTTGTTGCTGGGACACAGACTAGAGCAGGTGGCAGATGTGCCTTGTCTTTTGAGAAAAGAAAGAGTAGGTGAGCTTGGGCACAGAGTAGCATATTGTGTGTCCATTAAAAGGGCTGTACTAGGGTAACTGTAACAGGAAAAAGTCACCAATATAAGTAACAAAGGCACCTATAACAGCAGATAGGTCTTTTTATAGTCTGGGTAGCAAGTTTAATGGTATTGAAAAAGTATAGTAAATAATTTAAAACCACTTCATGTCTCACCCACCAGAATTTAAATTAAAAAACAACTTTTTCAATGTTCTGCATAACCAAGGGTATTCCATAATTATCTTTCCATTTGTGGTGACATGTCTGTAACTATATATGTAATATTTATTTATTAGATTTATAATGCACCGTGCCCAACAAAGGTTGAGGGCAGCTTGCAGGAAGCAACAAAATACATTATAAAACAAGTGAACAGGAGAAACAAAAACACTCATAAAAGCCAATAGAGTAAATAAACTGTATAGTAAAGCACCTTAAACAGTATCCCATTTTAGCCTTGCCTCCTAAGTGCCTATCCAAATAGGGAGGTCTTACAATGCTTCTGGCAGACAGAGTTCTTTGGGTAAATCCAATATCTTGTATTAGACAAACTAAAATAGTTGGAAAAATTCTTTTTTGCAAGTTTTTGGGTACAAATACCTTTCATCAGGCTGTGGAAACATCTGCTTCTGGAAGATATTTAGGCTCAGATTTTAGCAGGCCCCAAGGGGGAAGGAGTCCTAGAGCTGAGGGAGCAACTACTGAGAATGATCTCCTACATTTTTGCCAAGAAAACTTGTATTTATGGTACTGGGAGGAAGTTGCTTTTGGCTGGCCTTAAGGATCTCAGTGGACTCTAAGGAAGAGTGCAGTCCTTAAATATGTAGTATCCACTCCAGGGCAAATGTAATAAGCCAAGGAGAGGCATAACTAGCAATTTTTGTTTCCTGGGCAGAGATGGGAAGGTGTTGTGCTAAGTACCTGAGAGCAGTGGGTGAGGGGGCAGAGAGACAAACATGGGAGGGTCTTAACTGACAGCAGCAGCTGCTGCTGCTGTTTCTGTTGGGGCTGGCTCCCTGCATGCTGCTTCACTGGGCAGGGTGCAGGGTGGGCCTTGCATGTTGCCTTGCAGCGGGTGGCGCTGGGGCCAGTATCAACTCTTTGTATGCTGTCTTGCTGGGGCCAGGGCTGGGTTGATTCCATCCATCCTACCTAGTTCTGGTTGCTGGGGTGTGGGGTGGCACCCTCTCCAAGTAGCACCAAGGACTTGTACCCTTCTTGCCACACCTAGTTACTCTACTGATGCCAAATGTATAACTTAAAAAAAAAATTCAAGCATATGAAAGGAAAGCTGGAAAATCACAATGATGTGTGTGTGTGTGTATGTATAATATATATTATATTTATAATATACACACACGTGTGTATAAATATAATATATACCTTAAGTACAGAGTCCTGCACTTAGGATGGAACAATTCCATGCAGCGGTACAGGCTGGGACTCACTGGGTAGGCAGCAGCTCTGCAGAAAAGGACCTGGGGGTTACAGTGGACAATAAGCTGAATATGAGCCCTTGTTGCCAAGAAGGCCAACGACATACTGGTCTGCATTCACAGGGATATTGGCAGCAGACCAGGGGAAGTGATTATTTCCCTCTATTTTGCACTGGTGAGGCAACACCTGGAATACTGTGTCCAGTGTTGGGTCTCCACTACAGAAAGGATGTGGACAAATTGGAGAGAGTCCAGCAGAGGGCAGTGAAAATGGTTAGGGGTCTGGGGCACATGACTTCTGAGGAGAGACTGAAGGAACAGGGCTTATTTAGTCTAGAGAAAAGAAGACAGAGGGGGGACTTCTATAGAGAAAATGGACAACTTGCATTAACCACGTGCTTCACTGCCCAATCTGCTGCCTCTCATGTTTCCTAGTAAAGGCCACTGATCTCAACAGCACCATACAAAAGGAAGACTCCGCTACGCTTACTAACTACATTTGGCATGTGTACAGACCAATACTTAGATAGGTAGGTCCTTTCCCTAGGGAGCAACTAAGCATGTACTTAACTTTTAATCATACAAATAACTTTCATAAACTTCAGGTCAGTTATACCTGTGTTCAAAGTTAAGTATATGCATAAGTGGACAACTTGAATGGGAGACCCAGTATTATCTGATGAAATCTGAAGTGGCAAATCCATTGGTTTGTTATGCATAAAAGAATATTCAATTTTTCCCTTTTTTGCCCTTAAAAAATCAGGAAATATGTATCCAGAATGTGGCAGGGCACTGTTGGTGCCTGCCACTTTAAGGGCTGGGTCAGGCATCTAGCAGGTGCCTGATGGTGGCAGCCATTTTGAGAATGTAGTATATAAAGGCTGCAGTCTGCTGCTGCTGGCCCAGGCAGAAACATTGTCTAGCTGAGCTGCAGCAGGAACAACCAGGAGGTAAGGGCAAGAGCTTATGGGGATGGCTAGGAGGCTCTTGGTCATGGGTATGACCTAAAACTGCACCCTTCCAGGGATGGGTGGCCTGGTGGGGCTCCTGGCATGGCAGTCCCCAGGACATGCCAGGTCAGTTACCACCCCAGTGAAAAGCTGATTGAGGCACCTGAATAACCCCAGCTCCCACAGCCAGGTGGGTAACCCCATAGTAGGGCCGAGAAGGAGGACCCATGAGAGAGAGTGGGCTAGATGCTCAAGAAGCCTGGCTTGAGGCATCCTTGACTGGTGAATGCTGGGACCAGGACCAGAAGGGTCAACAGGGCCAGGGGCCCACC